TTTTTTGGAGGACTGGGAGGAGGGGGGGGGGCGGGAGTAATTTTTGGAGGGTCGTGCACACTCCCCATTGATACGCCACTGATACCAGTGAACTGTAAAATAGAATGTGCATATCAAAAGTATAACATTGCTCTATTGTTTATATTTTCAGACTTTGACAAATATTATAATTCAGAGTGTGATATTATTAATAAAACCTTAGAATACACTCACTCACATGCGTTGGAAGATACCACTTATTGTAATAGGGAAGTCAGTCTGTTGTATGTTATACTGATGTTTGGCACTTTATGGGTCGGTATCATGTTGTACAATTCAACTAAGAGGTAAGCAATCTTCGCAGGTTTGTGATATATTTCATTGTGGAGGTATTGCTTTTGTGTGTAAAATGTTTGATTAAAACTCTTGCCCTGATGGCCAGCTCACAATATATTTAATGAAATTGTTTTAAAGGACGATTAGCTCAACTTTCGCTAAAGATTGACATCCAGTGTTGCAACAAACGCTGTCACAAATCGTAATGGAGTCAATGGCTGACAGTTTGTCAATGTGTGGCCTGCTTTGGAATTATTCTATATTATATGTGAATGATAAAATGGTTAATTTGTCTTGTACACAAGTTTGCTTAATGGTGTTAATCAGGGTGGATCCCACCCGGCAAGAAAGACGGAGGGAATGAATGTGTGTATTGAGTGGGAGTCTCTGAGTCACCGGTAGGGCTACAAGGGGAAAATCCCCCTTAAACCTGTAGCATCATCATTAATTTAACTTTGTATCTGATTTTTGCAATTTTGCATGGTAATTTTCTGATAAACTTTGCAAAAAGAAAGAAAAAAAATTATTTAAAAGAAAATAGAGGGAGCTTATTCCCCCTTCTAAATTCGCCAGTGTTAATGGTGTGTTGAATGAAAAGTATTCGTATATGTATATATATTTATTTTTGTATATGTCTTTTTCCTTTTACTGTAATCGATACTTTTAAAAAACATATTCTTAATAGGAATACTGAAGAGTGACAGATACTTTAGTATGACCTCCATATGAACTCAGTTTCTTAAAGTTCAGTTGGGTAGCAACTGATCAGTAACCAATCCCTTGACTTGAAATCCTGATGGGTACAATTATGTTTTAATGTAAAGCACATGTGAAACAAAATATTTGAGACTATGTTTAGTTCTTAGAAATACGGCAGGCGTATCTAATTTAGAGCGTATGTTTAATCTGTGACGTAACTAGCGCAATGTCCAGACTGGGCGATTAACGAACGCTAGCGTAGTATCTGCGCGAAATAGTCCTATTCGTAATTGCGCATTTTATTTCTTGTTTACAACTACTGTAGGCGCATTGTGATTGGTCAATTCCTGGCCGATCTTTAATGCATGACTGTCTTAAGTCAGTGGTGTACGATAGATAGTTCGTGGTCTGTTGGTGGATTATCGTATGTCAGTGATTGCACGGTGATACTGGCGTTCGCTATGCTGCACACAAGTTCGCACCACTTGATTAACATTGCGCTAGCGTATCTCGTGTCTGAACATAGCCTAATTTTGATTTTTTTTTTTATTTGATTAATTTAGTCCTTTATTAGATGCCAGCAAAAGAGAGATGTTAACTGACTATGCTTTGCCTGTTTCTGTTTTGTTCATGTCATTCATCGGTTCGTATGTCTTCCGAGATATTAAAGGTAATATAGAATATTAATAATTAATCTGAAGTAGTAACCTTCTAGCTTTTTAATTATTTAACGCATGTACAATGTATTTGAATGATAAATGTTTGTTGAATTGAATTATGTATTTATTTATCTTTACTGGCGCTCATGCAGTAAGGTGGCAATTTCTTTTTTCTGTTAGTAATAACGGGTTATTTTCTTATTTTAGAGTAGCATCTTTTTATGTATTTATATTATAATATGGTAAAAGTTTAACAATATAATTGTAACACTAATTTAACAATTAATTTAAACATTTAACTGAGCATTTTAACTTTGATAACTAACTTTAAGATTAACTATAATATTCTATTAAAACTATATGGTCAAGCACAGCCATTTTGTACTTACACAACTTCTACAATTCCACCTAATTTGGTAGATCAGTTGCATTGAGCCAGATTCATGCTGTTTTGGCATTTTTCAGCGGAAACAATTCCATGAGACCAAGACACGTCTTGTGACGTATTGTTTTGAACAGTAATCTGCTCAGAGATCATAAAGTCAGGCATTGCATCGGAGAGGCATTCAGAAAAAGGCAATTCAACAAAACGACGCATATCTCGGCACATCAAAGATCTGGCATCGACATTCTGTGCATCGCACACCCCCTATACGCTTGTCAGCCTACTCCTGTCCATTGGTCAGCTGAGCTTTGTCCGACATAGTTTGTGCCTGGCTTTATAATTACAGACTCTCTCTCGAATTGGAGACCACCTCCAATTAAGAACCACTTTTCTGCAGTCCCATATTAACAAATGTTATTCTAATTAGAGAGCAAAGTTGCTAAAGACCATAGAAACCTTGGTCCCAAATGTGGTCTTAATAACAATCATGTTTGCTAATGACTAATTTAATAATCTTTCAGTGGAAGCATTGCCTTACCATGACAGCCAGCTATTT